TCTTCTTCTTCTTCTTCTTCTTCTTCTTCTTCTTCTTCTTCTTCTTCTTCTTCATTTCTCCTCCTCCTCCATATACACCTCCTCCTCCTCCTCCTCCTCCTCCTTCTTCTCCTCCTCCTCCTCCTTCTCCAAAAGGCGTAAGACTGAAACCGGGAATTCCCATAAACCTACTTAATGTACAACTGAACACAAAATACCCTTTGGCGCAGTCGGCACTCCGCAGTGAATATACAATGTCCAAGCAAATGGTGGCGATCACTACCAAAGGACGGAATTTAACTTAAAATGGGCTTTCTTCTTACACATTTGATCTTAATGAAAATACAATAGTGCAACACTACGTTTCAAGTTATGGGTACTGGCAAAGTTTCATATTTTTTCATTCGGTAGTTTTTGAGAATATACTGTTCGCAAAATTTGGCCTTAGCTCCATTAGTAGTAAGATGATCGCTAGCCGGCGGAAAAAAAGACTGTGACTGTGACGCGTTTGTATCTGCGACGTTGAACACACACAGCCACACGTGTGCAGGCCGCCCATCCTACCCCGACACACGCTAGAGTAGACACGTGCGCGCGCTAACAACGCATATGTTGGTATGAAAAAAGGCCGCTGATTAATCGCATGCAATCGGCTAAGTGAATAATGGTTCACGATACAGGTGCAATGGATGGTTTCCGGGAATCCGGGAATAGATAAAGTTCCTTCTGGGAGAAAAATGAGCGAAGCCACGTCTGCAGGGACTGTTCACCCTGGAAACGACCTCGTTAATCCGAGCTCGTTGATTTTAAATGCTCGTTGAATCCAGGTTTTTTAAAAAATTGATTTTAAAGAAGGAAAAAAAAAACGTGGAAATCTATGTCATCTCGTTGAATCCGAGTTCTCCTTGAATCCGAGCTCGTTGAATCAGAGTTCCACTGTATTAAACTGGTCGAGTCTACCTCACAAATGTGAGGGGAACTAACTCCTAATAATCTCCAGACTGCTGCGAGTGCTTGTTTTTTTCCCTCGACTTTTTACCGTCCTATAATCAGATCATGACCTCGATATTGACACCGACTCCTGGCCGCGAAAAGTTAGACATGACGACATATTATGTTGGACATTTTTACTACTGTTCTTTTTTCTCCTGTTACCGCCACCTGGTGTAGACCAGCGTCTGTGGTGTAGAGGTTAGGCTCTTTGCAATCATATATCTAGATCTAGGCTTTAGGCGCCCTTTATAGGCTACTATGTGGAGTCAAGCAGACACCTGCTGGCGCCTGTCCGCGTCGATCTTCAGCCGCTCAAGTTTCGGCATTCTCTGTGTTATGGCCAATATGTGAGGCATCGTGGTGAAATCAGGCGCTGGTCAAAATAATGAAATTAAAGGAACAGGCATTTTTGCCTCTATTGTGGCAATTTTTATCAAATGTTTGGTTTTTGGCTCAACACTTTAAGGCTCAACACCTTTTATGTTCATATAATACACATTGCCATGTGAATTTTACTGAATAACTTTGAGTAAAGGCACAAAATATGTATTTTTCAGTTTTCAAGGACTCTCAAGCTATTGAAGTTACCAAACTTTGGCAGCCTTTTTCTCGCTAATTTAACAACTGAAACCAGGCAGTCTCATCTGCTTCAAACGCAAATATCTCGACTTCTATTCAAGATAGACGAAATTTTTTTACGTGGAAAGCAAGGCAAATGAACAAGCTTTCACTTTCAGATGATACCAATAACTGCACGTGCCCAAAAAATGACGAGTGCCTGATTCCACCGTGTTGTGACACATATTATGTAGAAAACCCGAGGTCGATTCCCTTGTGAGGAGAATTTTTATCGAGTGTCTCGGTCTATCTTCTTTCTTCTTCTCGATCGCATCACACTTGAAGTCCGGTATCTGTCATAAATTGGGCCGTCCTGGTCAGTTCATCTAGCGGCCCGTATAGCTTCTCTTGTAGCGTCAGTGGGGTTGGCCACGTTTCCTGTCTCAGGGCCCTGTGTGTCTTGCAGTGCTGAAGGATGTGTTCAACAGTTTGGTCCGCTCGGTCTATCTGAATCTGCAGGGATGTTGCGTTTGTTTCAGCCTGGGTTGGCCTAAATGATTTAAATTAAAAACACCTAGGCCTACATTAAAACAAAAACATGATGTTGTCAAACATGATAATAATAATAATAAATAGCATTTGTATAGGGCATATCCCCGCTCAACAGCAGGCTCTATGCGCTTTACACTAAATTATTACCCCAGCAGACCATGGAACACTCCGAAACATTCTCAGCTTCCCGGGAAGCATACAGTGCAAGCAGCTGATTAAGCGCTCAAACACTTACAAACTTGTATTATCCCTCAAAAACCTCAGAGCTGTGCCCTGGGTTGCCTCTTACAATGTGAACATTTTGTACTGTTTTCCACTTCCAGATGACCCTGGCTGATATCGCCCTCTTTGACGTCCTCACCGGTTATTTGAAGAACTTCACAGGACCATTAGATGACTACCCATTGTGCATAGCCTTGAGGGACAAAGTTGGAGCTAACGAAAAAATCAAGGCGTATATGGCATCCCGACCTGTCACTGTTGGCTGAATATTAGAAGCGATTCTTCACACATTAACCGGAGGCGTGTGAATTCATTTATCGTGATCAATTATTGGAAACTTTTTAAAAAGTCACAGAGCGACATTACGAATCTTGAAATAGATTTTTATACTTTAATTTTCTGGTACCTATCTTGTTGTTTTTTGTGGTATTTTATGTGGTTGTAGAAGAAATGAAAATGGTCTAATGCTATGTTGAATTGATGACACTGAAGGTAAGTGAACCAAAGTGGTGGGGTTTTTGCAATTCCTTTTAAAATTCAAAAAATATTGAACCAGTTGTACACAGTATATAAGCTCATACATGCAGACCAAATTGTGAGCAACAATTATTTAAGTCCTGCAGACATAATTAATATTATATCCTGCCAACATACAACGGACATGGAGAGACAGATGAAGATAGTACTGATGGAAATGCTGAGACAATTAAATGCTCATTATTCTTCAACTTAAGCCACTTTCTATGGTGCTCTCCCACTTGGAGGGTGTGTGTGTGTGTGTGTGGGGGGGGGGGGGGGGTGATAACAATTTCAGAGATACCGACTCAAAAACCGATTGTTCTTCAGATAATAATAATAATAATAGATAGCATTTGTATAGCGCATATCCCCGCTCAACAGCAGGCTCTATGCGCTTTACACTATATCATTACCCCAGCAGACCATAGAACACTCAGAAACATTCTCAGCTTCCCGGGAAGCGTACAGTGCAAGCAGCCGATTAAGCGCTCAAACACTAACAAACTGACAAGATCTTTCGCTGTCTATAGCCGGGTACCCATTCCCACCTGGGTGAAGTGAGGAAAATTCGTGTAAAGTGCCTTTCCCAAGGACACAACGTCGGGTCCCTGACGGGATTCGAACCCACGACCTTACGGTTGCGAGTCCGAGAGCCTAACCACTAGGCCACCTACGCCACGTTGATAAACCTGAAGAACGGAAATGCAAAAATGATATGGGTCCTGTGTCCTTGTTTGAGCTATTTCTTGATGATGGTGTAATTTTTGACATCCACAACACACACAATACAACAAATCGATTGGAGGAACTGATTGTATGGACTAGAACATTGCCAATTACAGGATCAACGTCCACACGCAAAAGTGTTGGGTGTCCATTTTTGAACCACAGCTTGATGACAATACCAACTTACAATGCATGAATCCTGTACAGACGACAAACTCAGGTGACTGGGGTGTGGCCGCTAGGTGCTTTGTAGGGCTGGGCACTGAGTCGCTTTAGCAAAAATCCGGATAACATGTTAGTGCACCTCTTCGGCAAATAATATAACATGAACCGCTTCGGCAAATGGGTTAGAACCACTTTAACAAACGGGTTAGCACTACTTCAACACATGGGTGCTCCCACTTCGGCAAACGGGTCAGGCAAGAGAGTTAAAGAGTCTGAATTCGGATAATGTTTCATTGAGAATTGTCCGGTTATCCTTAGATTATCCGGATTTTGCCCACCTCTAGTGCTTTGCCGCGCACGCCCCCCCAAAAAAATGCAAGCTTGATTTCCATGTTGGGAGATTTTTTTTTTTACAGAGAAGCAGAGTCCTTATGCTGGGACGTTGTGTTTCTCTCAGCCCAGGTTGGTCGTCACAGGCAGGATGAAGCCCGCCTCCTAAGTGATCTAAACTGTGTCCATAGGACCACAAAAACAACTTCATTTCATTAAACAAAAAATAAATACATAAAATTAAGACGACCCTGAGCTGCGGTAGTCAACCCACTGGACTGTCTTGGATTTTTTCAAAGAATTATGTCCCAGACGTAGGTTAAATAATCAGGTACAGGAAAGCCGCCCGTGCGCAACCTATTCTAGGCAGAATAGAAAGAACAGTTGGATCTGAAGTTAAAAAAAAAGAATGCAGGAATGTTTTTCTTGATGTTTCTACCAATTCAGGAGAAAAGAGACGCAGTTTGTCTAAGGGCAGTACCAAGAAAGCATGCAACACAAGCCCCTCCTGCCCTCTGCATGAGAAATGCTTTTAAGTGCACCATCGCCAGTAAATGTTAGAATTTGGTCTTTTTCCCGGTTCTAAAGTCAATTTTACGATCATTTTGTTTCTTCACCTAGTCATATTTTGTATTTTTAAATAAAAGTAATTAAAATTCCAAATATTGTTAATGTTTACATTTTTTGTCAGCTTACTGTGTTCAAATTTTCACGTAGGCTTACCCATTCGTGTAAGGAGCCCAACTAGTTGGGCAAAATTTACATCGGTCACTAATACATAGTCTAATAGCAAAAGATAAATTTGAAGAAAAAAACAAAACTTGTGGAACCTTTTACTACAACCAGAAAGGAAACTTATAAAAACAAAATTTAAGACATCATGCACTAATGGCTTCAAATATTATTGTATTGCCAACATCAGTTCTAGAGTCTTAGTGTGCACTCTTCAGAATATTTAACACTAGGGTTATTCTTAACTTAATTGCTAACTGTTGTGAATCTGTTTGTCACACTGTCAGAGTCGTACTCAGTAACAGAAACAAGCAGCCTGTACTGGAAAAATCATGACATTTATGGCAATGAGAACTGTGAAAAAGGTTTACACATGTTGTCTTTTAAGACAGTTTTGTATCAAAGAGAAAGAAGTGGAGGCAAGGACACTCCTATAAGTAGTGGTGACAATGATCTCCAGTAGGTACATGCGAAAAACGAAGGGTATAATGCCACTAATAGCAAGCTTAACTAGCCTTCAGAATTATCTGTGACCAACATTTTGCTGCTTTATAGCCAAGGTCCACATTGTTGAATATGTGTACATTGTTCGTGTTTCGTACCATTTCTGATGAATGTTTTTGTAACCACTGAGTTCAGCACGAGATTAAAGGACTGGTGAGCCAGTGGGCCATTCCCTACTCAACCGGCAAACGTGCAAGTCGAGTCTGTTCTTCTTTTGTGTACATGTTGAGCCAAACGGTATACACGCTTACAAACACACATACTCCGCTTTCGTACGCTTACGTACTCACAAAGTGCGTATGGAAGCGTTCAACCTTTTATTTCTATATTATCTGGGCCCACTACTGACGACACGCTTCCTCACGCTTACGTGAAAAACGTATAACGTCCAGCACGTCAAACATTTTCCGTACGTGATGACGTGGCTTCACCGACACTGATATGGTTGATTATCTTTTGTTTGCCCACTTTTACCTTTAAAATTAAATTAATACCACTTGACTTTGATCTCAGTATTCTCAGTCTCCAAACTGTGATTTTAAAAAAATTAATATTATTATTAGGCTATTGTTAGGGGACCGTACGCCCCAATAGCGCTTGGCGCTAGGGGACCGTACGCCCCCATAGTGTTTGGCGCTAGAGGACCGTATGTCCTACCTGCGCTACGGCGTGGTGTTACGGGACCGTAGGCAGATATGCATGCATCTGGACTTTGCAAAAATACTGGAGGAAAATGGCCAGTTTAACGAAGCTCCTGACGTAAGGAGTTATTACTAGGAGAATGTTTAAAATGTCTGAATACGATTGTGAGGTATCTAAATCTAGTGGC